ACAGAGAATTCTCAACAGAGGAAGCTCAAATGGCTGAAAGACATTTAAGGAATTGCTCAACATCCCTAATCAAATGCAAATCAAAACAACTCTGAGATACCACCTTATGCCTGTCTGAATGGCTAAGATCAAAAACACTGAAGACACCTTATGCTGGAGAGAATGTGGAGCTAGGGGAATTCTCCTCCACTGTTGGTGGGAATGCAAGCTTGTACAACCATTTTGGAAATTAATATGGCGCTTTCTTAGAAAATTGGCAATCAGTCTCCCCCAAGACCCAACTATACCCTCTTGGGCACATTCCCAAGGAATGCTCAATCATACCACAAGGGCACATGCTCAGCTGTGTTCATAGCAGCATTATTTGTAATAGCCAGAACCTGGAAACAACCTAGAAGCCCTTCAAGTGAAGAATGGATAAATAAAATGTGGTACATATACACAATGGAATACTATTCAGCCAAGAAAAACAATGACATTATTTGCAGGCAAGTGGATGGATCTAGAAAAAAAATCATCCTGAGTGAGGTAACCCAGACTCAGAAAAGCAAACATGGTATGTACTCACTCATAAGTAGATAATAGATGTAAAACTAAGGATGACTAGACTGCTACTCACAACTCCAGGGAGGCTATCTAGTAAAGAGGACCCTAACAAAGACACAGGGATTGCCCAATGACAGAGAAATGGATGAGATCTACATGAACAAACTGGACATGAAGCGGGGTAATGAAGGGCAACTGTCAAGGGAAAGAGAGCTTAGGGGAGTTGGAGATCCCAGCTGGACCAAGACCAGAGAGGGAGAACAAGGAAAAAGAGACCCCATGGGAATAGGAAGAAGCAAAGTGCTAGAGAGTGCTAGAGAGGTCCCCAGAAATCCACAATGATACCTCCACAATAGACTACTGGCAATGGTCAAGAGAAAGCCTGAACTGACCTACTCTGGTGATTGGATGGCCAAACATCCCAACTGTCATGCTCGAACTCTCATCCAATGACTGAGGGAAGCAGATGCAGAGATCCATGGACAGGCCCCAGGTGGAGCTCCAGGAGTCCAATTAGCTAGAAAGAGGAGGGATTATATGAGCGAGAGATGTTGAGACCATGATTGGAAAAAGCACAGGGACAAATAGCCAAACAAATGGAAACATATGAACTATGAACCAATAGCTGAGGGGCCCCCAACTGGATCAGGCCCTCTGGATAAGTGAGACAGTTGATTAGCTTGAACTGTTTGGGAGGCCCCCAGGCAGTGGGACCAGGACCTGTCCTTAGTGCATGAGCTGGCTGTTTGGAGCCTGGGGCCTATCCAGGGACACTCTGCTCAGCCTGGGTGAAAGGAGGAGGGTACTGGACCTGCCTGGACTGAATCTACCAGGCTGAGCTGAATCCTCAGGCGAGTCCTTGCCCTGGAGGAGATGGGAATGGGGGGTGGGCTGGGGAAAGGGCAGGGGACGGGGAGGAGAGAGGACAGGGGAGTCGTGGCTGAAATGCAATAATGTAAAATTAAATTATAAAATAAGAAAAGAAATTCAGAATATTACAAAGTAATACTTTATAAACCTGTGCTCCATGAAGTTGGAAAACCTGAAAGATAAGCATAGATTTTCTTGATTCATTGAAACCACCAAAATTAAACCAAGCAGAGATCAACAGACTTAACAGGGCCATAACAAATGTAGAGATTAAAATACTAATAAAAAGCTTCTGAGTAAAAATAACTCCAGGTCTAGATAGTCACAGCATTTGCCAGATTTTCAAAGAAGTCTAACCAATACTTTTTAAATTATTCAAGAGAATAAAAATACAAGTATCATTTCCAAACTCATTCATTGAAGCCTGTATTACTCCAGTACACAAAGCAGATAAACACACACCCCACCAAAAGAACAGAACAATATCTCTGAAGAATATAGATGCAAAAATCCTAAATAAAATACTAGCAAACTGAATAAGGTATATATCAAGACCTTCCAACACAATCAAGTTGTTTTTATTCTAGAAATGCAGGGATGGTTTAACATATGTAAGTCAATAAATATGATAAATCAAACAAATGATAAAGACAAAAATCACATGATCATCTCAAAAAATGCAGGAAGAATTTGACATAATCTTCATGATAAACTTAACCTTCATCATAAAAGAATAAGAATGGAGGGAACATATCTTAATATAATAAAGCATGTATATGAGAAAGTCACATTTCATTACATAAAATGGAGAAAAAATTGAAACAATCTCATTAAAATCAGGAATGAGCTAAGGCTGTGTACTATCACCATTTCTTTTCAATATAGTGCTAGGAGACTAGACAAAGCAATAAAACAAGAGAAGGAAATTCAAGGGATATAAATAGGAAAAGAAGAAATCAAATTATCTCTATTTGCAGATGACATAAAAGATCTTTCAAATTCCACCAGAAAACTATAAATAATGATTTCATAAAAAAGGCAGGTCACAAAATCAATTTATAAAAATCAGTAACCTTTCTATACACTGACACCAAACACACTGAGAAAGGGATCATGGACACTCCCACTGCAATAGCATAAAAAAATTCTTGAAATCTATTCAAGGATGTGAACGACCTTTACAATGAAAACTTCACATCACAGAAGAGATTGAAAAGGATGCTAGAAAATTGAAAGGCATTTCATGTTTATGGATCAGTATAATTAACATTGTGAAGATGACCAATCCTACAAAAGATTTACAGATTCAATGCAATCCCAATTAAAATGCCTACAACATTTTCCACATAAATAGAAAAACATTCTAAAATTCATATGGAACCAGAAAGACCCTGATTGGAAATATCAGAAAAGATCCTGAGCAATAAGAATATTACTGGAGGGATTAACATTCCAGACTTTAAGACATATTATAGAGCTATAGTAATAACAACAATAACAAAATGGTATGGGTATAAAAACAGACATGTAGACAAGTGGAATAAAGTAGAAGACTCAAACATGAGTATATGAAACTCCAGTGATGTGATATTTGACAGAGTCTAAAAATGTACATTGGAAAAAAGATAGCATCTTCAACAAATAGTGCTGGAAAAATTGGATGTCCACTTTCAGAAGAATAAAATTAGACTCATATCTATCACCCTGAACAAAAATTAACTGCAAGCAAATCAAAGATTTCAACTTGAAACCAGAAATGTTAAAACTACTATAAGAAAATATAGGCAACACCCTGTAGATATAGGTACAGGAAAAGACTTCCTGAGTGGGACTCAATTTGCTCAGGAATTAGGGGCAACAGTTGGCAAGTGAGACTTAGTAGAACTAAAAAACTCTGTGAAGGAGACACTCAATATAGTAAAGAAGAATCCCTCAGAACAGGAGCAAATCTTCGCCAGCTATATACCTGACAGAGGATTAATATCCAGAATATACAAACAACTAAAAAAAAAGTCAAGAAAACACATGACCCAACTAGAAATGGGCTAGTGGTCTAAACAGAGAGATCTCAACAGAAGAAATCAGAATGGCTTAGAAATACCTCAAAATATTTTGATCATTCTTATCAATTAGGGAAATGCAAATAAAAAATCTTTTAGATTCTATCTCACCCCAGTCAGAATGGCTAAGATCAACACAATGATTGACAACAAATGCTGGAGAGGTGTGAGAAAAGGGGAATCCTTATTCACTGTTAGTGAGATTAGTGAGAATGCAATTAGAGAGGTGCAGTCACTCTAGAAATCAGTATGAAGAATGCTCAAAAAAAATGTACTGTATGACCCAGCTACGTTACTCCTTCACATATGCTGAAAGGAATCAACATCAAGTTAATTCTCGAGAATTCCAAAGCTAGTGAAAGTAGGAAAGTATAAGTCAGAAAATTCTGACACTTATCATCAGCAGGTAATCTTGGGAAATTATGGTGACTCTTCTCAGAGAATGAACACAGGAGAGAGTAATCATAGATATACCCACTGATATTCTCCCAGGGATAAGAAATTGGGATGTCAGAGCCCTTTTTTGTGTAGTCTTTGCCCTTGAGGAGCCAAATCAATCAGGGAATGAATGTAAAATTGATCAATTTGTATAATAAGCTTCAGAGGGACACAACTCCCAGGGCAAACCTGTAACTCTTATAGTCACCAAGACAGAACACACTCATATCTTTCTAGAAGAAATTATTCAGGTTTTTTCCTACACATCTAGTTCTTCTTCTTTTCTCCTTTGGGAAGACCTTCTGCCTTTCATAACCAATGTTCTTTGAACAATTAAGATTCAAAGGAGTTGGTCCATGGTGAGTATGTATTGCCAAGTCTATATAGTCCAGCAGATGTTGGATGAAATGGAGAATGAAGTGGTTGGTAGGAAGAGTTTTAACACTTAAGCATAGGTCAGGGAAAACCCTGTTATTTAACACAGAGGGTGCTATTATGAGTAACTGATGGGAATGAAGAATCATTAGAGTCATTAGAGCATTTGCTTTAAGTTGCAGCATTTTCACAGTGACCATTTACTTTGAATATCTATTATTGTGGGTAGATAGCTAAGGAGATTATGTGGGCTTTTTTTAGGTATCCCATGACAGTCTGATACCAGAATACTTTCCTGGACAAAACAGTTTGCTGACTTAGTTACCGCTGTGAATTGTCTGTGGCAGAGCTTGGTAACTGACTACACTGTATATAATTTACAGGGAAGTTGTTCTCTTCTAGTTCTTAGATAAAAGGTAATATTACCCCAACAGCCTAGAATAAGCATTTTTGACTTTTCTTTCACTCTTGCTTGCTTGGGACTATCTCAGGCGTCTCCTGATAGACTAGCCTCCATTCTGCTCTCTAGTTTACTTTTGTACACTTTGCTTACTAGATTTTCTCTTCAAGAAAGAAGAGTCTGCTTACTTGTAGCAAAGAAATTAGTTTCTAAAACCTGAATATATCTGCAGACAATATATTGAAGGTATACACTGTGAAGCTGAGAATGGATTCAGAGACCAAGATGCTTTATATAATTTTTTATTTAGGGAAGGCCAAATGCCTGCAGTGTCTTACTACCACAAATTATGCAGTTGAGTTTTCCACATTTGGGGAAATCCCAGAGGTCAGCACATCTGGAGTACAATGGTTATCCAATGATTATCCTTGCCCCAAAAAATCCACTCTTTTGAACATGGCATCTCTCCTGCCAGGTAAAAGGACAGGGGATTATGCTTTTATTAACCATTTCTCAGAGAAGCAGAATTCACAAAATACTTTCAAGTACTATCCTTCATGGTGTGCACTAAATACTCGTAGAAGATAGAAATTGCACCAGGATCTTTGCAAACATGCCAAAACAGATGAGTATCAGGCATGAGGTGATGCCCAGAACTGCACTGGGAGCAAGGGATGGGACATTTTGTTCAAACACCAACTCTTTTTTTCTCTATTTGCTGAGAATCCTTTATGCAGGTGCAGAGGAATTTATGCTTGTGTCCATTTGCATTTTATTGCTCTTTTCAGAACAATGGATATATAGATGTTTGGAGAGCGAGTACCAAGGACTTTGGTACATAACCACTGGAATAATGCGGGTAAGAGAAGAAAAATGGAAGGACATGGGCAAGTTCAATATTCAGTACTCTTTATCTCTTAGTATTTAGATTTGGAAACATTAGAGAATCATTGCTCCTCATTATTTTTCTTTTACTTGAGTGGGTCTCATTCTCAATCATATTCAGTTAACAAGACATTGACATCATTCTTCTACTTGTCCCAGCCTTTACTTCTTATTTATTTTCTATTAAAGAAAGCTTGAGTTTGTCCCTTAATTTCCAATGATGTGAGTATTCCATATTGTTGTGTCTCTGTCTTAAACCTATCTTTGGTTCCAAGCCATAGGAAAATCATAATTCATAACATGTTATTTCTTCAGTTTCAGTCATTTCACAGTCTTATGTATCATCTCTGCATTACTAATATATGTTTACCTCTTTGTGTTCTGGGAGTTGTGGTCCTGGACTATTGTTGAGACGTCATTCTTCACCATTCCATTTACCACTGTGTACCAAAGCAATAGGGTTTTGCTAAGAACACTTGCTTCCTTGGTTGATTCTTGCTTCTGGATCTTTCCTTTTCCTTGCTAAAAATCCTTATTCTCATACCTCCAGCTAAATAATTCTTTTGTCAGCTACCTCTCCTCCTGAACTCCTTCTCTGACGTCATCATCCCAGATATTCTTTTTTTTTTTTTTTTTTTTTTTTTTTGTTTTTTGAGACAGGGTTTCTCTGTGTAGCTTTGCGCCTTTCCTGGGACTCACTTGGTAGCCCAGGCTGGCCTCGAACTCACAGAGATCCGCCTGCCTCTGCCTCCCGAGTGCTGCATCCCAGATATTCTAACTTAAGTCTTTGATACTTAACTGAACAAAATTTCCCAGAAGAACTAGATACTAGGAACAGAATAGCTAGATGGTTTCTTACATGTGAGCAACTTAAGAAGATATTATTTATAATGTCAGAATTCTTTTAAGTAGTAATTTGGTTGTTGCTTTTACTGTATGGTAGGACTTCATGAGATAGGCAAACATTGAGTGAACAACACATTTTTTTGTGGTACTTAGATGAAATCCAGGGTCCTGCAGATTCTGGGTAAGCATTCTATCACTGAGCCATAACCTCAGTCCATGTGACTTTTGACCAACATCAAAGCTTGTAGCATCCAGACCCTCTGCTTTATATTTCATATTAAGGTTGATTCTTTCTGTTTCCTCTTTGTCACACATATGACAATTTTCACTGAACATTTTCATTATTCTGATTTTAAAAATTGGTTTGAAAAAGAAATATTTGATTATCCTGAAAATAAAAACATGCTCCCAGCTGAATATCTTCTTATTTTAATCCTATTTATATAGAGGTTTTTTTTTTTTTAACTCAGGAGAGTGTTTAGTAATTTTATATGCAAATGAAATGATGAAGAATATGAGTATTGAGGATTTTCAAAGATGGAAGTTTAGACGATGAATGTTTTCATTTATATTGTAATAATAACCACTATTTCAATTCTTCATAAATGTCTTCTAATATTCAATTTCCATATTTATTCTTCCAATTACCTTTGTTCAAATTTCAAGGGATTTAGGAAAAAACCAGAGGGCCATGTGCTGATGACTCATGAAAAGACTATTGTTGCTTCTACAGGGGAACATACCTGGTAAGATTACATAAAAGTATTGATGCAAGGGAAAATAGGATAATTTCTTGGGACACACAGGTCCAAGTGCTGGGGGAATGAATGTACTACCTAGAATTGATTGAATGGCCTGGGTAATAAGAGGAAACATATTTTTGCTATACCTTTCCTCCTCTCTTACTTATCTTGTCTCTCTGTAGTAGTCTTCTTTAGAGCTAGAGTTGTTGGAGATTTTGGAGGGACAGATGCCCAGATTACAGTGGAACGCTACAGAAGTGGAAAGTTATTTGTTTTTATGTTCATTGATTCATTAATTCAGCTGCCAAAACAGTATGAAAATCTTCCTGTATGTCAAAGAATCAGCTGGTATTGAGACGTGATGGGATTGAGAATCACCTGGACAGCCAAGAACTGTATCACATATAAAAAAAACCAAGAAGACACTAAGAAGATAAAACTTTTAAAGAAACAAAAGAGATTTCAAAATGAATGGATACAGGAGAGGGTATAATCGTATTCACAAAGTGAAATCTTTCTGAATGATCAGAATTTAGTGCAACCACAGAAAAGTGTTGAGAAGTGAGATTGGAGATCAGAGTGGATCCATCATAGAGAAAGGATTTCCAGCACTTTAGAAACTACTTTGGTCTGAAAAATTCCAGAGGTTGTCTGGTCTTCATGAAGTTTAACTTTGTAGAGTTAGTAGTTCTAAGCAGAGGTGAAAAAAATGAACAAGTTTCCCAAAGGGTTGATTAACACCCTGAGACAATCAGTATAATGGACGAGGAAATGTTGGAGTCCTAAGTTCTGTAATAGTAAAACCTTTATGCGGTCTTTCATCTCAAAAAATAAAAACAGAGAATTTAGAGACTGCATGGTATACGTTTCCTACTCTTTCTCTTCCATAGTTATCTAGTTGATGTCAACAACATGAAAGCAGGAAACCAAACAAGTATTTTAGAATTTTTGCTTGTGGGGTTTTCCCAAGATGCAGAGCATCAACCCATGCTATTTGGACTGTTTCTGCTCATGTTTGTGGTCGCTGTGCTTGGGAATCTGCTCATTATCCTGGCTGTCAGCTCTGACTCCCACCTCCATACTCCCATGTACTTCTTCCTCTCCAACCTGTCCTTTTCTGACATTTGTTTCATCTCTACAACCATCCCTAAGATGTTGGTAAACATCCAAACACAGAGCAAGACCATCACCTATGCAGGATGCATTACACAGATGTATTTTTTCATGGTCTTTGGAGGCATGGACACATTTCTCCTCACTTTGATGGCCTATGACCGATTTGTGGCCATCTGCCACCCCCTTCACTACCCAGTCATCATGAACCCCCAACTATGTGGCTTGCTGGTTCTTGTGTCCTGGTTCATCAGCTTCTCATACTCTCTGATCCAGAGTCTGTTGATGCTACGGCTGTCCTTCTGCACCAATCAGATAATTAAACACTTTTACTGTGAACTTGCTCAGGCACTCAATGTAGCCTGCTCAGACACACTGCTCAATCATATCCTTCTTTATATTGTGACTTGTATTCTTGGCTTTGTTCCTTTTTCAGGGATCCTTTATTCCTATTCTCAGATTGTCTCCTCCATTCTGAGAATCCCATCAACAGATGGAAAATATAAGGCATTTTCTACCTGTGGGTCTCATCTTTCAGTGGTTTCATTATTCTATGGGACAGGTCTTGGTGTGTACCTTAGTTCTGATGAAACTTCCTCTTCTTGGAAGGGCATGGTGGCCTCAGTAATGTACACAGTGGTCACTCCCATGCTGAACCCTTTTATCTACAGCTTGAGGAACAAAGACATTAAGAAGGCCTTACAAACACTTGGGAGAATGCTTTTTGTTAAGTGATAAGATCACTGGTTTTAGGTTTCTGAGATGACAGAAGTAAAGCAGGGGGCTAAAGAAATTCTGCTTCTTAATCATGTAGACTTTTTATTCAGGTTGTTCCTCTGTCTTGATCAAAATTGTACAGTGAGTACTTTTACCTGAGACTTTGTGATGCCTTCTTTGTTACCTTCAGGTCTATCCTTCTCCCTTCTTTTTATATGACTCATCTCTTCATTTAAGTACAATGTTTATGTTTCTGTAGGTCAATACAGCCATTTAAATACCAACTCAAGAATTGTTTGACAAAAGTTATGAAATCATTTATAGAACTTAAGTCCATGTATAAGTATATAGTACTGTGGCTATAAATGTTATATTGATTAGGCACATGCTTGAATATATGTTACTAATAGATGTTTCTTTTTGTACAGGCTGCAAATTACCATGAAAGTCTGTAGTCACCACTCAGAAATCACTGCTGAGATTTCAGAACTGAAAATTTCCACTTGAGAGAAAATTTTATCTTGCTCCTACATATTGAAATGGTCTATGATGTGAACATTTTTGTTGCCCTGACTTATATGCTAAAACATTATAACCAATGTGATTTTATTAAGAAGGGAGGAATTGGGAAGCATTCAGATTTATTCTTGATGGTACCCTCAGAAATAAAGTTTCTTATAGAAACAAAAGACCCCGGGGAGCTATCTTGCCTCTTCTACTATATAAGAGCATAGTGAGAAGGCACCATCTATGAACCCGAAAATTGGCCCTCAGTAGACATCAAATCGGTCATTTCTTAATTTTAAATTTCCCAATCTCCAGAAATGTGAGAGACAAATTTTTATTGCATGTAAAGTACTTAATTTATGAGATTTTTTATAACATTCTGAACATATTATCCCCTATGACTAAGGGATATAAAATAATCTTGAAACTTGAAATGTCTATAATATCTCAAGGCAATGTCAGAGATGTACTCTATTAGGGGCAGTATTTAGAAAATCTCTATAATAAGATAGAAATGATTTATACAAGATATTACTGCAGATGTGAAAGTAGCTACTGAGAAATATTAAACAACTGTTTGATTCCATTGTTACTATTTGTATAGTGTTCTGTGGTTGTTTCTCAGTTCACCTGCAAAGCACTACTTTGCTCTTGGATGTCAATCCCACCATG